GGCAAGATAGTATGTCTTACAGTATTTGTGTCAGTGTGTTAAAAAAGAGCTTATTGGTGTTGAGTGGAAATGATACTCATCCATTTACTGAGGAACTGAAACATGATGGCTATAAGTACTTCACAGTATAATTCACATGTGAATTGCTATGGTTGAACCAAATACATTTATTGAGCTTTCAGCTGAATTTTCAGTGTAATACCTGCATGGAGTAAACACAGTCAAGTGTGATTCTGACATTCACAAGTCCTGAGGCGGCTGTGAACCGATGTGCTACTGATAATATTGATCAGCAATGACCCTCTCTGCCTGATCACTCACCCTTTTGTTGTACCAAATCCACCCTAATCAACTCTAACTGTACTACTGTATTCAGTTTCAGCTTTAGACTTTGCCCTTTTGCTGAGTTTTGAAATGTATATTGACTTGCGGTACACAGCTGTGATCCCTGAGGTTTCGATGTAGTGATGGCATGTCCTCCATACTCATGATCAGTGTTCGGTTTATTACTGAAGTGGCCTCTTCACCCCAAAGGCAGGGAAAGGTCTATGAGACTGACAGCTGTTGATAAGTGCGTTTTTCCATCCCAGTCCTGACAGCTTAATACATACGTCAAGACTCGTACCTCATCTCATCATTGGGAAATAGGGTAATTTCTCTCTCATATGCTTTCTTTCTCTATCTCTGTTCCTCCCTCTCAGCCTTGACAATATACCTCAAATGACACTCCTCTCTCCGATCTTTTATTGGTCTGACAGAGGAGACCAGTTTCCCTCCCTTCGCTTAGCTTTCTCTCATCTTCAGTGTGAAGGTCTGACATTTCTCATAGCGCACAGATGGAGGGAAACATCACATCTTATTTCTCTGGGTCCTGACTCACTGGCATAGACAGTACTCTTCTCTGACCTTTGACCGAGGTGGACTCAAGTGCACTGACTGGCAGAGACATGTCAGCTTGCTCATCTTCCTTTTGTCATATGTGAATTACATGTTTTTCGTGAAAAAATAAAAGGAGAAATTGTAACGATGCATGCAGTCATGCTCATAAATTTACACGTTTACATACTCCTTGCAGAATCTGTTAGATGTTTAGAATTTCAGAAAGATAAAATCGTAAAAAGATTTTCAAAAAGAAATGTTTTTAGTACAGCCCTGAAAAAACTCCATACATACATACAAGACAAAATAATCACTCGATTTACAGAAATTATTGTGTTCAAAAGGACTTATGCACAACTATAACAAAATCTACAGCCACTGATGCTTGAGTTAGCAACACACAATATTAAAATTCAAATATATGTAAACTGTTGAGCAGGAACATTTGTGAATTACTCAGTTATTATTTTGTGTGGAAGGGCCCTTCTCAAATTCATTGCTCTCTAACTACTGGGCGAATTCTGGCTGGTGGGAGAAGATGGGGTTAAGGGTCTTTTGTCCCCTCAAGTCATGTATAATCTCTATTGCTCATCCATGAAAAGTGACCTTCTCTGAGATCACATCCATGGGGGAATATGTCTACCACCCCTGCTATGAGTATTTTCAATCGCTTATGTTTTTCTTTTGTTTAGTAACTCTCTATTGTTTGCCAAGACTTCCAGCCATCCTCAAAAAAATCCAAGATGGCAGAAAAATGAGAGAAATAAATCATTAATAATAAATATACTGTATTTCATTAAATTACAAAAACTATCAATAAAACTAGTTTAATCAAATTTAAAAATGACTACTTTACCCAATATTGGTGTGTACTATTTCGTTTTATTAATTTTAAAGTCTCAATTAAATGAAAGTAGTGACAGATCTTTTCTTCTGTATTGTGACATACATCTGAGTGTAGCAGATTATTGAAAAAAAAAATTGTAGGGTGGAGACTTCTATCAATCGGTTGTTGATTGGATTTTGAGGTGTGAGCGTTCCTTAAAAATGAATGCAAGCTTGCAGTTGATTGTAAGAAAGGGGCGGGGTTTAAGTAGACTAAATCATTAGAGAAGTCTTGTTTTCACTGGAAGATCGAGTTAAGGTAGACTATTTCGATAAAAAAGGATAATAAATTATACATATATAGTAAATCATTCACAATAAGATCTATAAGATTCATTTACAAAGTAGACACAAAATCGAGTGAATTTTCATGTCAACTTATGTTAGCTTAGCCAAATGCTAATGTCAAACTTTATTGAATTAAATTAAAAGTCCCATGCACTTTCTCTGAGAATATTAATTGTCACACAGACACACAGAGTTGCTCCCTATGTAAAGCGTTCCAAATCAGTCACTTAAGAGTTTCCATTTCAGAATGATATGTATGGAGTAGACAGCACTATAGGTTTTGAAAGTTTTTTCTATATACTTACAATTTAGTACATTTTTTCCAATAAATAAAATAAACGCAGTCTCTCACATATTTCATGTTTCTGTCAGGCCATCTCTGTCGCAAGTGTCTCTAATCACAAAGTGAATATATTAAAATCAAAAGTTGCATTAAATATTCCTACAGTCCATTCCTCAGCCCACTCGTTCGTCTTTTTGCCATCATATCTCTATCTGTCACCCACCCTTCCATCTGTCTTTCCCCCATACTGCTTCTTTTTCAGTCCTTCTGCTCAAGGGCACTGGGTGAGCGCATCTGTTGTGAATGATAGCAGCGAGAAAGACACATCATTTCAAATACGTCCCCTCACCATAAGAATTATCAAGTTTTTTATTTAGTAATGTGGTCATAGTGATAGAACTGCTTCCACACAAACAACCATCACCATGACAAGTTATTTTGAAGCATACTGTGTACAGTCCATGAGAATGAGTTAATTATCTGTGTAAATGATATAAATGTGGATTAGAGTCTTGTGGATTAATGGGATTTGGGTTTTATGATGCTTTGAATCATTTAAGACTCCTCCAGTTACAACATTGTTGCAATATCCGTCTATGGCATATGAGCTTTACTGCAAATGAATCCCGGCACTCTGAGCAGATGCAGAAAGAGGAGGGTTAAATCTGTGACCTGGATACACATGACAGGCTTTATTTTGGTCTCTTTCTCCATTTCTCTTGCTCTCACAGTTGTTGTTTTTTTCTCTTCATAAAGTGAAGTTTATGTGTGGGTTTGTGTGGAGGTGTTTGGCAGATAGACAAAGATATGCACACATTCATGTACAGTCGTACCCACATACACTCCAACACACAGTGAACCGAATTCACTGGTCAAAATGGTGGTGGAAATGCAATGTAATCAGTCTGCTGTGCTCTACACGACCTCACAAACACACGTCCAATTTGCAGACTTCGCATGTTTGTAATTTCCATTGCTGGCCTTCTGCATGCATGAAGGTGTAAACCCTGAGCAGAAGGGAGATGAAGCTTGTCAGAAGTAATTTGGGGCCAGTTAAACACTATTGCTGAGCAGTTAAGCTGTCAGGACTCCATCAACACTGAGAGCGAGCAATGAGACAGAACAGAATACGTCCTTTATCATAAATGACACTGCATTCTAGGGCATTCCGTTCCTGCATTCTGTCTGTGCTAGTTATTTAAATAGTTGGCTTATGTACAATATATGTTTCAGACAGATTTCTCACTGTTTATTCAGCGTTTCATGAGGTCGATATCACATTAAAAGTAGCTTCTTCTTCGTTTCCTGTTTTACCGCAACACATCTCTCCCTTCAAGTATGGACGGTCTTACTGCTTATATCAGAAGCGTTGCAGTGTTGACAGGTGCAGACGTCATTTATAAAGTTCTACACAGTTCATTTGATAATGCCTTCAACTACCAATTCTGTTAAAGTTGCATTCCATAACTTTTTTTGGGTTAAAAATGATCAAAAATCAATTATTGTGCAAGTACATAACCAATCAGTGTTCAAAACTATCTCCTTACCTTAACCACATCATCACGTGCCCACACGGAGGCGCCGTCATCATGCAAAGAATCTGCGCAAAGGATCATGGGAGCCCGAAGTGTCCATCAGTTGTACCCTTCGAAATCCTTCATTCCGAAGGGCCCTTTGAAGTGGCCAGTTTTGAGCACTTTGGTTTGGAACGACCCTTCAATGTGGCGGCCATGATTGTTTTCACTCCGAAGTGCCTTTCGGAGGGCGATATATCCCGTTTGGAACACACCGACTGTTGTTATGACATAATTTTAACATAGAGTCATTAGTCACATGACATTTACTGATAAAAAAAAAAGTCTGAAGAACTGATTGCCCATGATTTTTAATCTAGTACTTACACAGCACAGTGTTGCCAAGTCCGTGTCCCACGGAATTGGGCTACTTTAACACTGTTGCCGTGGGTTGTTTTTCATGTCTAAAGGTTAAAGCACCCCCAATAACGTGATATTTAGCCCCTGGAATGCACATTTTTTTACAGGGTAACCCCACCAAAAAATGTTAGCCCTGGAATGCGATTTTTAACAAGGGACCCCCCCTCAAAAGGCTTTTGGGTTAGTTTTGAGTAGCGATTGGGCAGGTTTTGTTGTGAAAATCTGGCAACCCCGCCACATCATCAACCAAGCTTTTACCATTGAGATGAATGAAAATTGTATCGGATAATGTACATTTCTCCAGATCTCCTTGCACATCATGATGCCAAGATGTTAGGAAAGAAAAATGTGTGTGATTGTGTGTTCTGCATTTATACAGTGAATTATTTTTAATTGATCTCCTAATTGTCACCATAAAAGCGAATCATAATGTGCTTTCATTGAAATATGTTAACCGTTCAATATTTCCCGCGTCGCATCTCGCGCGCTTCCAGCGTGCCGTGTCAGAGAGCCGCACTGCAGTAATTTACCTCAGCCTCTCTCAATCTAAACCCAAAATTAATCCCATTCCCTCTCTCCTTCCCCAAACCTCCTTCCTCCTCTCATGATCACAATCTCCTCCATTCCTCCCTATCCGTCTCTCTCTCGCGTTTCGAGGGGTGTGCGCAGCGGTGGGCGGGGTTAAGGACGCGTCAATCAGCGGCGCTACAATAGCACGTGTGGCGGTCATGGTCACAGAGCGGCTCGGTGGAGTCGACGCGACTGCAGGCTGCTGATAGGAGAGAGAGCGAGCGAGCGGTTACCGTCACCTTATCCATCCACCGCTCCTCCTTCACTACAACCGCCTCTGCAACCCGATCGTCCTTTAATAATGCACGAGGAGGTGAAGCGAATATCAGCGGCCTGGCTCTGAATGATGTATCACACCGGGTACTACAGCACCGCACCGGAGAGCCCGAACCTGTAGCTGTGATCCACGGAGAAAATGTCACACTATAATTTCATCAAATGCTGTGAGTAACGAGCCGCGAGAGAGGCGTCTTTCCTTACATGCATCTGCCCGTGATGTCATTTCGTCAATGATGTCATTTGTCAATGATGTCTTTTTGCCCGTTTGCTGGAGAGAGTGATTGAGAGGCAGGAGGAATTGTGTGTGATGTTCGAGGGTGCTTAATGCATGTGGATGTGTTTGACATACCTAATGCATCCTGTGCAGTGAGACCGGATGATGAGCTGTCATGTTGATGTGTTGGCTTTGGTGACTTTTGTGCATGTGTGTATGTGTGAAATTGCAGCAGGATGCGGCAGCAGTGTAAAAGTTGACCGGTGGCTGCTGGATCTGCTGCTGCAGGTGTGTAGGAACCTCCTGAGGGAGTCTGCCTGCTTTCAGACAGACGGCTGGTGGGTGACAGTCTGACAGCCTCTGCAGGATCCCTCTCTAGTGTGCATATGCATTTGTGGTGGGCGTGTGGTCATGAACACACCTGTACAAGAGAAAGTGTCGGGTAGGATAATGGAGAGAAAAAAGGGAGTTCTTTAGACAGAAACGGATGTAGCCATGGTGGCTGGGAGGGTGGAGATGCTGATGTGGGAGAAGGTGGTAATCAGGAAGCATTTGTGTTGCCAGCTGCAGATGAAAGGCAGTTGTTAAACTTGTCCCTTCGCCACCCCTCTCTTTTCATCTTTATTCAGATAGTCTAATTCTCCTTCATCTCTAATGCTTTTTTTCTCTGTATGTTTTGCTAATTTGAACACACACCCACCTCTGTCGCTTTTAATGGATTATATCATGCTTTTGTTCTGTTTAATGTTGTTTGTGGCACTTTCCATGGATAGAGTACAAAATAGGTCCAGAAAAAATGGTTTTGCATAACCTACAGGAAATGTTGCTGTCATCCTCAGGAGGTCGAATAAATATCTATAAACTATTTTATTTTCAGTTTGTTTTAAATGAGGTTTGCAACCTAAATTGAGAGGTGTCTGCTTGCTAGTTTGGTTCAAGTATTGGTTTGCAGCTATTGATAAACTTATATTTCCCATATATTAAAGATAAATGTTTGTTTGATCTATATGCTTTAAACTTAAATTGGGGGAGCAAGGTTGAATGGTTGAGCTTGATGAATTGCCAAAACTGAAATTTGTGTACAAATAGAGGAAACAGAATAAAATAATTTATGCTGTTCAACGGTTCCAAGTTATGTTATTATGTTAATTTTAATAAATGTTTATTAATATTATTAATACATAATATTGGGGAAATGCGGCAACGGGGTTGAGCTGAAAAAAAAGAGTTAATAGTTAATTTAGTTATTTAATGAACTGAATATCAGTTATTGCAAATTTTATGTCATTGTTTGATACAGTCTGGAAGGTGTGACAGTTCAAGGTGGGAGGTGGGGGTACAGACGTTTGATGTCTTTGAACTAGCTACTTTTTATGCTAGGTTAGGTTTTAGCGCTAGATAATAATTGATAAAACTAATAATGCACCGTTTTGGCAACCGAAAATAATCAGTCAAAATGACATATAGGCCTATATACACACACACACACACACACCGTTGCAATCAAAATTATTCAACCCCTCAGAGACTGCAGTACTTTACAAATACAAGCTTTTCTGAAGATACAGGATTTTATAAAAATTGCATCTATAAGAGTTTACTGGCATATTAAAAGTGATAATATCAATATAATGTAATATTTTTGAGTTAAAGGATTTTTTTTAATAACACAGCTGTGTCATAATTATTCAACCCCTATTCAGCATTGCTGTTTTTAAGACACTTTTTTTTGTATGGTGGGGAACAAAATTGTCTTAAAACACAGTTAAGCCTTTAGAAACTCTATTAAAAAAGATAATTAGCTTGAGCTGTTACACATACATGCATGTGCTGACGTGAGCAGCAAATATGCAAATTCAGCAGAGTTCTCAAAAGCTATAGAAGAAAGTTTTATTACAATAGAAAGTAAGAAATAGTTTTATTACAATAGAAAGGTTACATGAAGATTTCCAAGACATTAAACATTCCTAGTGATACAGCAGGCAGCCTGATTCCTTCGCTTAAAATGTGTTGTACCAGAAAACCTTTGAGGGTGTTGAAGAAAAAGCACAATATCATAATAAATTTGAACAGAGCAACTGAGAAAAACCTGCAATGTACAGCCAAAGACTTGCAAGATGACCCGATGAAAGGAGGAAAAACATTTCAAGGCAGAGTATAAGAAGAACACTATAAGTATGGCCTTCGTGTTGGGGCATCTTGCCGAATGCCACTCTTGACCAAGAAGAACATAAAAGGCCGACTTGAATAAGCTCAAATTTATTTGGATAGAACTGTAGAGTTCTGGAAGAATGTTTTATGGAGCGATGTGACCAAACTGGAACTTTTGGACCCATGGATCAGTGGTATGTCTGGTGCAAAAAAGGCAGGAGAACACCATCTCCATGGGCAAACTTGGAGGAGGACCAGTCCTGTTATGGGGGTGTTTTACTGTTACAGGAAGTGGAAATCATGACTGCATGAAGGACATCATGGATTATTTGAAGTAAGAACTTTTTGTTGTGCGATTATATTGCCCCAGAAATAATTGTGATAAGCAATATTATTGTCATTTTAAAGACCATTTTATGCCACTGAATATATACTCATAATGTAACCGCATAATAATGCAAGAAGGCCTACACGCATCCAAATGACAACAAACTTTTTAAGAATGTTTAAGAATATTTAGATCATGGAAATGAAGTATCAACATATTAGATACCTTAAAAAAACTTGAATAAATAGTAAATAAACATTTTCTAATAAAAAGTGCAAAGTAACAATTAGAAAAAAAGAAAAATGCACAAAAAACTCAGATTTTTCCCTGACCTTCTTTTCTCTGTAAATTAAGGGTGCACTGTATTGCTGAAAAACGCAATCCCTACTTAGCAGTCAGATGTCCGTATGCACAAAGGCACAGATCCCTAAACAAGACCATATCTGCAGATTAATCTTTTTTTTGTAGAAGCATTTTTTAAAATTTGAACGAGCACCTCATGACTACACCACGTTATGTTCGAGAAGCTGCAAAAGACCCAGGCACAAGTGGAATGTACAAAACATGGTGACATTAATTTTTAAGTAAATATAATGGGCGATATATTGCGTCACCAAAAATTATTGAGGTCATGTACATATATTGCACGATAAGTCGACATATTGATTATTGCGACAGGCCTACCTATAGGCTGCGTTTATTAATAAAGGATTCTGCTCAAACTTGGACTTTTGGGGGTTGAATAATTTTGAACATGAATGTTTAGAGAATAATTATTCATCAATGTTACATTCTCAGAATCACTCAAATGTGTATTAAGAAACTTTCTCTAATAGTTCACTGATGTCTTTGTTGAATTGTTTTCATAAAATGTTCTCTGCAACAATGTCTTGCAGGTCAAGGGGGTTAAATAATTTTGATTGCAACTGTATATATGGATTAATATTTGATGCCACAGTAGCAATATGTAAAAATCGATAAGCTGAAATATCGAGAGATGGCTTATTGCTGAAGAACTTTACTACAGATGGTTTACAACCTGTTCAATTACCAAAATTTAATTGACAACATTTTGTTTGAAGTTTTTCGTCTTTGGTTTTTCGTAAATTTTTAATTCTGTGTTTCAGTAAAACATTAATTTAAGTGTGTTAAGAATATCTTAGCTCTTTATCTTTCGATGCCGTCCGACTATTCTCAGTCCTTGCATGGGCCCATGGAAAGAATTATGAACATGAAGCCAATTGTATGTTGCAAATTCTTCAAAGTTTATTATTACTTCCAACAGATTAGTCACATCGTAAGGGGTGGTGCAGTGATTCTTCCAATGAGATATGGATTACATATGTGTGGTACACAAGCCAAGAAATATATGTTATATAAAATGGAAGTATGGCCAGGAAGTTCTGGACATATTAGGAGTACAACTGGCAGAAGGATACCTTTTCTCAACTGAACTATACAGTTCGGTCAGTCCAAACTCAATAACCTGGAGCACTTCAGACCCCCTCCACCAATACAAATAATACAGCAAATTCATAGAAAGTGGCCTGTGCTATCACTTACCCCTCCCTCTCTTCCTCTCACCTTTACTCTTCCTTCCTGTGTGTTTGAGTGGACAGAGGCTCAACGGTGGCCAGTGCCAGAGGCAAACAGTGAGAGAATGTGCAAGGTCGCACACTCGGGTGCGAAGCCAGCAGAGCATTGTGTGTGTGTTTATGCGTGTGACTAGTGCGCTTCTCAGATCCCCCTCAAGGTTTGAGATGTAGTACAGGAGACAGGTGCGTGCTTACGGAAGTCTTTCACATTTGGATTTGTCTGATCCCATCAGTCTTGTGAGAGGAAAGAAAGAAGTGATTTTTAGTCATTGCATTCTCTGTGTATTCACGAAGTTGAGTACTTTATGTTTGAAAGACAGAGAGAGTGAGTGCTCTCTGTCTAATTTATGCTTCCCTGTTCCCCTACCTCTTATATTAACAGAAGCTTGTATGATACTCGAGTGTAAATCAATACCTGACAGCCTGGAAGCGGAGACACAGAAGCAACCAAGAAAAAGGAGGAAACCTCACCCATCTCCCTCTCTATCCCATCATTCCTGCCATTCTCTGCCTCTCTCCGTGACTCGTTCAGTCACACATAAGTGACATATTTTGGAATCAGTCAGAGGTGTCACCAACTCAGCCAGCACCCATGACACACTGCATGTGTGGCATATCAGTACTCTATAAGACAGGCTACATTTCACAGTAGTAGTGAATAGGTTTATGCTACAAGGTTCATGTGTATACTGTATAAAATCAACATTGTCAAAAATGCTAGATTTGCATTCATTTTTCTGTGTAAATGTTCTAGATTATAAATGTTCTATTCTCGGTTTACAGTCATTTCCTGCCCAACTGAATATTCCATTGGCTTATACTATAATATTATTTTATTATACTGTATTTATATATATATATATGCCACTTTTGACC